TGTTGAGGTAGAAAGGACTTTCTGGTGAAGCTTTCCCAGGCATTTTCCCGTGAAGCCTCAGTTAGCTTTCTCTGAATGTTCTCATAATAAGCAGATGTTATCATTCTTTGGCCCTCCAGAAAGTCAACAAGCAAAATACCTTGAGCATCCCCCAAAACTGTTGTCATGACCTTTGCTCTGGACTGGTTCCACTTTTGCTTTGACTGGATCACTTCTACCATTGCTTTGATTATGTTTGTCTTAAGGCTCATACTTGTAAACCATGTGTCAGCCTCTGTTAAATTCATCAAAGGAATGCTTCAGGATCTTGATCTCACTTGTTTAAAATTTTCTCTGAAAGCTCTGCTCATGTCTGCAGCTGATCTGGGTGCAATAGGTTTGGTACCTATCAAGCAGAAAGTTTGCTCAATTTCAACTTTTGAGTCAGAATTGTGTAAGCTGAACCAACAGAAATGTCTATAGTATTGGCTTTTGTTTCTGCTGATAATTGTCCTCTTAAATAAGGGCATGAACAAGATTAATTTTTTTCCTTACGTATACATGTGGATGGTCTACCGTGGTTGGCATCAACTTCAACGTCATCTTGTCCCTTCTTAAAACAAGTTATTAATTTGTAAATTTCTTTAAGACATTGTCCCCATGAGCTTCATGTAAAACATCAATGATTTCACCATCCTTCCACCCACACTTTAGTGTAAATTTGATTTTTTTTTTGTCTCAATGTTAGCAGAATTTACATTGTTCTGATAAAGATTCTTTTCACACTGATCTCTTTTATTTCATGCTCCTCAAAATAGTTTCTGTTTAGATGTCTTAACAAGTTAGTACGAGTTCATGTTGGTGGGAAAAAATTTGAAATCTATCTATAGATATTTTTATATTCCATATTTTCAATAAACTTTTTGAATACCCTTTATACACACACACACATGCAAGTGTAAACATAGGAACCCTTTATTTTTTTTGGAGAGGTTTTTGCTATATAAGACAGAGAGACGGAAAGCGAGAAATCACCCCCAAGGGAGGATGGCCATGCCGCAATCCCTCCTCCTCCATTCTCCTCTCGGGATCTTGGGCATGCATGCACATGCGCCCAGCGTGAGTTTAAGCCACTGGGTCCAGGACTTGAACTGTGGTCAACTACATGGGAGTCCAGCAATGTAGCCATTATGCCAACTGCTGGTCCCAGGAATCCTTTAAATATATGAGCATGCACATAATTTTTCAAAATTATATTAGGGAAAACACTAAGAAAAATTTGAAAATCAGTTCTGTGGATCCTGGACAGCTACAGAAGATGAGATTAGCTTTTTGCCATCTCAGATCTAATGACTGACCTGCCAATCTCAGGCCTGGCTCCATGCCCAGAGTCTAAGACATTCTTGCAAAAATTCAAGAAAGCTCATGTTGTGTACGTTGCTTTTCCAGCCAGAAATGCCTGTCTTGATCCTTTCTGTTCCTTAAAATCTGTTTCATCTATTTTATCTTGTATGTTCCAAATTTTTCTCTTAGTAATGTCCACAACTTGTGGACAACTTCTTTAAAAGGTAAAAACTTAAGTGTTCATTTTATTTTTTAAAAATTGCCAGAGGGTGCATGTGCTTACAAGAGAGAGGCAGAGGCAGGAAGATAGAGAAGGAGGTGGAGAAAGCACCCCCAGTGGGGTGTGGTCACATCACAATCCTTTTCCATTTCTCCATCCTGTTGGATTTGGAGCAGGCAACCACATGGGCCCAGCACATTCTGCTGTTTTTTGTTTTGTTTTGTTTTGTTTTGTTTAGAGAGATTTTTGCTATAGGACACATGCATTTACCAGAGAGACAGAGAGGCAGAAAGCAAGAAATCACACTCCAGGCAGGATGCTCACACTGTAGTCTCTTCTCCATTCTTCTTGGGATTTGGGGCACACACGCACATGCATCTGATATGAGTTTTAAATTGCCGGGTCTGCCACAATAAACTCTGTGGGAATCTAGCAATTTAACTATTACACCATCTGCTGATTCCAGGCCCACCATGTTTTACAAGCCAGTGGGGCCAGAATCCAAACCACGGTCAGCCATGTGAGATCCAGCTACCATAACCACTAGGCTACATAGGGCCAATCGGGGAAAAAAATCAATATATGAAAATGAAACCAACCTAAGATCTGACGCGATTGTATGATTTACTGACAGTTACAGAGCTATTTAGTGAGGAGCTGGAACTTGCCGCCAGGCCTCTTAACAGCTGACCTCTTCCCCCCTTACCTTACTTCTCAGACCAGTCTTATTTTCATTCCGTGTCTGAGTCACACTTTCTCCACTTTTTTTTTTTTTTGAGAGGTTTTTGCTATAGGGCACGTGTGCTTTCCTGAAAGACAGAGAGAGACAGAAAGCGAGAAATCACCCCCCTAGAGGGCATGGCCACGCCACAATCCCTTCTCCTCCATTCTCTTCTCGGGATCTTGGGCACGTACACACACACGCCCGGTGTGAGTTTAAGCCGATGGGTCCGGGACTCAAACTGTGGTAAACTATGTGGGATTCCAGCAACATAACCATTACGCCATCTGCTGGTCCCTCCAACCTCTTTTCAGGCACTCATTCAAGAAATACTTATGCTGATATGCGGTAGGTAGTATACAATTTTGTTTGCTTCCCTTTATCTGCCTGTACATATTTATTGCAGTTATTTTATTGCAGTTAATATAGTCTCTCTCTAGATAGGCAGGTTAGAAATCACTACTTTATTTTTATCTTCTTTTCTTCCCTCACTCCTCATATTCATTAAGCAGATGGATTCTGGATTCTGTTGATGCCAGTTGCTAAAGATCTCTGGGGTCCAGACTTGGTTGCTCATGCCCTAACGTTACCCTAGTTGAGAGCCCATCCTACCTGGCCTGGGCTAGTGCCATCGACTGCCAGCTGGTTTCCATGGCTCGGGGCTGTGTTTCACTATGTACTACTGCTCCTTTGAGTACCCTTTCAGACAAAAAAGGAGAAGGACGAAAAGAGGATTTTCTTTTTGACTTTTTGCCATAGGTTGCATGCACTTGCTGGAAAGACAGAGAAGGAAAGGGAGAAACCACCTGCCAGAGGGGATGGCCATACTGAAGTCCCTTCTCCAGTCTCGTCTCAGGAGTGTGGGCTTACACACACACACACACACACACATGCCTGGCATGTTTTTAAGCTGCTGGGTCTGAGATTTGAACCAAGAAATCGGCCACTCAGTGGCCTGGAAAAAAAGAACTTAATTGTGTCACATTCATGCTTAAAAAGGAAAGAGTAACATTTAAAATCTTCCATTCCATATAGGGAAAGTTTAAGAAAGAGTGAGAGAGAGAGAAAGGATGGAGGGAGGAAGGGAGATAGAGAAAAAAGGAGAAAGAGAGAAAGAAAGAAGAAAGAAAGGAAGGAAAAGAAAGAATGTAAAAGACACCTTAGCTAGAAATGAAAAACCTTTCTAAGTATGGTCTCATCTACTCTCACTAAATTTCTCTCCCTCTAAGCCCTGGCGTCCCTGAATTCCCTTCTTGTCAATGACCCTTCCGTGTTCTTTTTTGCACTTCCACTCTTGGTACATATTTCACTAATCCTGGCATGTGCTTCTTCTGCCTTGTGCACGGATGCCCTCTTTTCCGTGACTTCAGTACATATGTCACCATTGTACCCATGGTATTCACATATCTCATGGTACAGGTCGAGCATCACTAACCCAATGTGCTCCAAAATAAGCTGCGTACCTGATGCCACAGCGGGAAATTCCACACCTCACCTCAGGACAGCTTGTAGTCGAAATGCTGTAGCACAGAACTATTGCATAAAATTACCTTCAGGCTATGTGAATAAGGTGCATGTATAAAACATAAATTAATTTTGTATTTAAACTTGGTTCCTAACCCCAAGATATCTCATTAAGTATGGCACAAATATTCCAAGATCTGAAAAACAACAAAAACTCAAACCCCAAAGTTCAAAACACTTTTGGTCCCAAGCATTCCAGATAAGGGAGACACAGCCTATATTACCATTGCCTACAAATCTACATTCCTTTCATGTATCTAGACTTCGGCTTCAGTGAACACTGGACCTCCAGTGTTGGCACAAAGCAGGCACTGAATAGGTGTTCGTGGAGTGAATAAATCACTCTCCTGTGGAAAATAGAGAAATATACAAACTATATTTCCTTTTTAAAGAGTTATTTAATTCAACTTGTTTTTATTATTATTATTATTTAATTTGACCAGAGAGAGAAAAGGAAAGTAAGAAAGCAAGCCACCAGGTCCAGGACTCAAACTGCAGTCAGCTGTGTGCGCGTCCAGCACCTTAACCACCACACCATCTGTCAGCCCCACAAACTATATTAAAGTGGATTTGTGGCAAGTTAGAGGGATACATGAAGACTGTGGGAGTGTGGAAGACCCCCGCCCCTCTTGTCAGCACTCCTCGCCTGTGAACACTGTACACGTTGACATGCGGTAGGCAGCTTACGGCAGCACCTGCATCATTTTACTGTCACTGGGCTGCTTGAGTCTGTGGAACCATTTGACTGTGTCTCTGGTAGGTGAGTCAGATACAGTGGAGAGAAGGCAAAACTAAAAGACACTTGCTCCTGTGATTCTCCCTGACACCGGATTTTCTCTACAGCAAAACATTGAACACAATAGCTGCATCATCGGGGCAGGGCTTATTTTAGGGCTTATTTCTGACCTATTGCAATCTGCATACCATCTTCTATTCTGTTTCCTTTTATGGGTAAATATGTTTCCATTCAAATTTTTGGGGGACCTTGGGCATTTATTACTTTCAGATGTTTTAACTTTTAGACTACTTTGTTGGTCTCAGATCTCCTGTAAGTATTTCCAGTGAGGAATATATTGACTTTCTTATGTCTGGTTTCCCTCTGCACGATGCTGTACGTCTCCATTTTTCTTCTTGCAGGGATTGTCTCTATTACCACTCTAACTGTGCTGGCTTACGAACGTTATATTCGCGTGGTCCATGCCAGAGTGATCAACTTTCCCTGGGCCTGGAGGGCCATTACCTACATTTGGCTCTACTCACTGGCCTGGGCAGGAGCGCCTCTCCTGGGCTGGAACAGGTACATGCTGGATGTGCATGGACTAGGCTGCACCGTGGACTGGAAATCCAAGGATGCCAACGATTCCTCCTTTGTGCTCTTCTTATTTTTGGGCTGCCTGGTGGTACCGGTGGGCGTCATTACCCATTGCTATGGTCATATCCTGTATTCCATTCGAATGGTGAGTTGAAGACATCAAATACCCCTTTGCCAAACCATGTCCAGGGTAGAAGGTTTTCTATGGATAAGAATCAAGCTCTTCCTACATAATCAGTAGTTGATCAGAGTGGAAGCTGCTCTAGGGAACTGCCCATTTGATACAATCTTGTACTATGAGTCACTCTTAAAGATCAGTAACAATAGGGGCCCACAGGTGGCATGGTGATTAAAAGCACTGGATTTCCACATAGCTCACTGGGGTTCAAGTCCTGGACCTGGCAGCTTGCTTTCTCACTTTCCCTTTCTCTCTGTCTTTCTCTGGTCAAATTCAAAAATAATAGTAACAAATGGAATTAAATGCTTTTTTAAAAAAAAATCAGTAAAGATTAATATTTACTCTAATCAACCTATAAATCAAAAGAAAGGAGGAAAGAGGTTCTGGGTAGACAAAATAAACAGTCAAATGCCCTACATCATATAGTACTCTTAGAATCAAAGAACTCTTGAAACGGGAAATTCCACCCTTCCCATAATGTTTTTATGCAAAAATTGTCTGAACCCACTGCTAGACAATTACCCAGATGTTTTGTCTGGAAATCCTGTCAGCGTGTCAGAGGGGAACAACTGATGACAAACAAGTTTCACGGTGGGCACCAGCAAGAAGGAAGCTTGTACTGACAGCGTGGAACACACTTCACATCTCAGGCTCTGACTTGAGTCTTGCGTGCTTCCCTTCTCACACGCTGCTCCTTCCTACCATATGTGTTCTCTGCTTTTACCAGAACTCTCCAGTCCCTTGCTCATACTGTCAAACCTCTTGAGCTTTTTTGGCTTTTGTTTTAAATCAAACTTAACCACATGTATCATTTTTAATCATGGCTCACTGCCCTCAACTTCTGTGTTCCTCTTTTTTTCACACATGACCATTCTGTTAAAAAAAAAAAAAAAACCAGTTCCCTGGATCAATCCACCCCCCTATTTC